CGGGAGCGGCCATCTTGGACCCGCTGCGGGGCTGCCGCGGTGCATCCTGGGAGCGCATCCCCAGCACTGGCGGGTCCCCTCCCGCACCTGACAGGGGCGCCAAACAGAGCGGAGCCATTGTCATCAGTGCCTCGTGCAGGATATTGGAACCCGAGGACGTGAATCTCTCAGCAAATAGAATATTTCTTCTTTATTCCCAGGCTCACCTCCCCCTCCTTCTCTCTTGGATAGTAGAGGCAGTACTCTCTTAATAAAGAAAAAACTTACCTCGCATGTTCTTTATTAAATTCACAGCGTGATGTTTCAGCACTAGTAGAATTCGTACATTCTGTTAATGAGTTGTTAATTGCAAAGCATTTTGGTAACCAGCAGCAGGTACCCATATTTTGCAAACTGCAGCATTGTTGTTAGGTTACCGATAAGAGGGGATTTTCCGAGTGAAGATACTTTTTGATCAGTGTTTGCTTGGGATTGTGCTGGTGCAGATATTTAATGACAGACCTTCTCTTATTGGGGGCGTGCGTGGGCATTCATTCATTCAGTAAATATATACTTTAAACCTCCTGTGTGTGGGGAGCACTAAGCCCTGTGCTTTATGCAGATAAACCTACCTGATAAATGACACTTTAAAAAGAGAAAATGATGCAGTGATGCAACGTGGTGTCCTGGGCCCTGCCCTGGGCTCCCAGAAGCTTATTCTCAGCAGACTTAAGTAAAGCGTAACTTGGTTTGCTTTTGTCACAAACAGACGCTGAGAGTGCAGCTGCTGCCAGGCTAGGAAACACCTTGATCGGAGATTTGGCTGCATTGTGTTAAGTCTGTTTCCGGAGCCTTTTGTGGGGTCCTGGATGCCGATTACATGGGGGACTTGCATATAGCATTTTGGTTGTTCCTGTTTAGGAGGCAAACTCCTTTTTAATAGCCTCTGCTTTTCTGATTCTCGGCTGAGAACTAAGAATATTCCTCCTGCCTGCTGAGTTAGGCAGGGTGTTTGGTTTGCTTCAGAAGCAGTAACCGGCCTTGAGAGATCTGGCAGACCTGCAGCCAGTGGAACTTAATTGTTGCAGAAGGAGGTGGAATTTAACTTGCTCTTTTTCAAGGCTTGTCCTTTTAAAAGTACTAAAAGTCATTTACATAAGGTGTTACCTTTTTTATTTGCTTTCTGGTGCACTGCCACTCAGCTGCCCAGACCCAGTGCTCTCTATATACTGCTTGTCTCCTCTGGTCACATCAAGGGGCAGTCAGCAGCAGAATAATAATTCCATTTCCCCTCCCTTTCTCCCCAAGTGTCCAGCAAGAACTACGGTCATTGTTAGTGTTTAGCTTTGAGTAAATGCCCACGACCCGCAGGATTAAACACAAAAAAGGGACCTTCCAGTCCTCTTGGGAGTGATGCCTACCACGTTTCTGGTCAGTTACCCTGGGCATGTGTACCCCAAACCCCACCAGCCTCATCTGCTCTTTGTTGAGTGCGCACTATGTGCCAGGGACCGCTCCAGGGCCTTCCTGTACGTGACTCTTGGCTCTCACAGCAGCTCTGGGACTGTCAGTACCAAGACTCCGTGTCGCTCAAGGCTGTGGAGCCTGGACTTGAACCATTCCTTTGCCTCCATGCCAGGAGACTGTCTTCCAGGCGTGTGTTTGCAAAGCTCTGTCCCCTGCGCAGCCCCGTTTGGCTGTGGCGGAGACTGTAGGTTTGGAAGTCTGCACTTCCAGAGGAAATAGTACAGGGAGGGAAACGCAAGGTGGGGTTAGACTTAGTCAAGTCTGACTTATCCTCGGAGAGGCTACTGGTGTCTGTTCAGAGTCAGGCAGCTGGGTGGGAGATTTGAGAATGGTTTGCCTTTGGGTCCGAGTTTAAATTACATGCATACTCAGAGCAGGGACAAGCCCTCATTAACTAACAGTGTTAGCTCAGTGCTCAAGGCTAACTAGAGACAAGCGGAGGCCAGTGATGTTTTGAATTCTTGCTCAGAGAAAAGAGTCAGGTGGGGTCAGGGCTCCTTTAGCTCTTTCAGGAAGTGGAGCTCAGCTCAGGATACTGGCCCCGAGAGTCCGGTTCTATCTGTGTGAGACTTTGCATTGTTCACGTTAAGCACCGAGTTTGAATTCTGTGCTTTCTTTTTCCTTTTCGGAACCAGGACAAGTCCACCATGCCTGAAGTCAGAGACCTTTCAGAAGCCTTGCCGGAGACGCCCATGGACCCCATCACAGGCGTGGGGGTGGTGGCTTCGCGGAACCGCGCCCCGACAGGCTATGATGTAGTAAGTCAGGATTCCGCTTTGTACCTTTTGTTCACGGATTCAACAGATGTTTACCTCCTGTGTTCAAGACCCTCTGAACCTTGTGTGTAAGATATGTTTCTTCCCTCTAGGAACTTAAGCAGGGAGGGGGAGAGCACCAGTGGGCAGGCAGGGGAGTGTCCTGGATTGGGAGTCAGAGGGCCGGAGCCTGTCTGGGCTGTCCCTGGCCGAGTCCCTTGACCTCTGGGATGCTCATTTTCACCTTCTGTAAAATCCAAGGGCTGGATTCATTGATTTCCTGTCACTTCTCGTTGTGACATTTCATGAAAAGGATCCAAGTGTCTGAAAGACCCTTGGCGATTGTCATAGAGTGTCCCCCACGGATACATGTCCCATACAATCGTACCGCTCTTACCGCTTCCAGAGCAGTGTCCTCCCCAGCGGCTCATGTAGCTCACGGCTGCGCTGGGAGGGCCAGTAGCTGCATCTCTGCTGCTGAGGAGAACCCGAGCTCCGGGAGGTGAAAGGACAGAGTCCCCGTCCTCGGGGGCAGGTCAGGACCCGACCCCCCCCCCAAACCCAGCGCTCTGACTGACCCACCACCCCGCTTGGCAGGAACGTGCCGTGCTTCTCGGCAGATGTCGGTGGCGGTCAGTAGCACTGATGGCCGGAACTGGTTCTTTTGTTGTTTCCATAAATAAACTCCGATTTGGGTGGAGCTTTAAAAAATGCAGAGAAACATCAGGAGGGTGTAGTAGACACTGACCCTGGTCCTGGTTCTGAGATTCTGAAGTAGCCTTACTTCCCTCTTGTTTAGGGCAGCGTTTTATTCTTGTTCGTTGAGCGGGGGTACCAAGACTCGTAAAGAAGGAGGGCCTCGGCAGCCAGCACGGGAACCTGCCGCGGTGATGAGATGAGTGTCTGGCGCCCAGGCGTGGGGGTGCCAGGCCCGGCCCCGAAGGAGCCCCGCGGCAGGGTCTCTCAGCCCTGGCACGATGGGCGTTTTGGGCCTGATAATCACATACCTTTGTGCTGTGGGCTGTCCTGTGGTCATAGGATGTTTCGTAGCTTCCTTGGCCTCTACCTACAGATGCCAGTGGCACCAACCCCCCCAAATTGGACAACCAAAAACGTGTCCAGAAATTGCCAGGCGTCCCCAGGCTGAGGGGTGGGGGGGCAGGATCAGCCCCCGATGAGAACGGTGCCGGGTGCAGGGGTCAGCGGCACTGGGTCCTGTGGGAGGGGAGCAGCCTGTTAAAATGCTCCGTGTTACTTTCCCAGCTGTTTGAAAGCTTATAAACATTTTAAACGTGAAGGGACGAGGGAATCTTTTTTGACAAAGATTTGAGTCTTCCTGCTGCCTGACTTCAAAGCACTGTTTGAATGTATAACTTGTCATAAAATAGAATCATTAGGTATGGCTTCGTGCCATAAAACTCTTGAGGAAGCTAATAAAGCTGTTCCCGATTTGAGAAGCCAGTGTCTTTTGATGAATTAGATATGAAGCAGCACGCCGTGCGTGGGGCAGGGCCAGCGCTCGCCATCTCTGGGGGGACTGGCCCTGGGTTGCCCTCCTGGGAGGGCTCCTGCTGGGCTCACCCCCCGGGTGCAGGTCTCCCACCTTCGTGCTCTGCCGTTTCGCTGATCTGTGTCCTTCACATTCTGCTGGTGCCTTTGGGGTCGTCTCGGATGCTTGCTGGTGGGCGGCAGATGGCCTTTGATCGTCTGGTTTTCTGAAAGTCTTGGTAAGTCTGACAGGAGCAGAATCCATCCCTATCATTTTCTCCTAACATCGAGCTCAGGGCAGAGGGGCGCAGTGTCAAATGAGTGAAATTAATAAGCACATCTCATGATTATGCCGCGCCGTGCATTACAGTGGAAGGTGAGCAGGGCAAGGGGCGCCAGGGGCGGCCTGGCAATTACCCAGCCTCCGCGCCGGGACGAGCGCGGCCGAGCTCCTCCGGAAGCCCTTTCCGGGAGAGAGTTGGAATCGTCTCGCTGTGCTGACCTCTGGACTCTTCTAGGTACACAGCTGGTTCCCAGAGGCCTGACCCCGAGTTCAAGGGCAATGAGGGGATTTGCTTTTATCTGGAGTTTTGTGTGAAGTCAACATCCAAACCGGAAAGTAAGGTGTTTGATGGTGGCTGGGCCACGGAGAGGCTTGGAGCCGCTGCGGAAGCCCTGCTGCGGGTGGTGGCGAGACCTCGGCCTGTCCATCCGCTGGGGAGCGATCTGTCCCTGCGCAGTCACAATGGGCACCGGGACCACGCAGCCCGAGGGTGGGACACCAGATGGACGCCGACCCGGGCAACACAGCCACTTTCAAATGGGCACAGGCCCTGGTGCTGCTCCAAGTAAACGATGCCCAGCGTTTGCTTATGAACATTTAATGTTATAACTCCTCTCCAGGTCAGGGGAAGCTGCCTCCTAGGCGAGGGGCTGAGGATTATTTGCTAAACTTCTTCATTTATTGTCCTGATTCCTGCATTCCTCTCTGAAATAGCCAACACCCCCCGCTCCACGGCCTCGCTCTCTGGTCTTGGAGTGGCGGCGGCTGCTGGCAGCGGGCGGGTGGGTCTCATGTGTCCTTGTGATGCCACCGCACCTGTAGAATGACTCTCTAGATGCCGGGTGTTTGCTGAGGGTAGTACATGCTGTTTTTTTCATACGTGGATGCTTCAAAGTTGCCTAAAGTGTGAGTGAAATGAGACTGGAAGGTGGAGGTGGCTGTGAACTTGGTGGCAGGCTCAGGAGCAAGATTGGAGTGGACTGACGAGCCCAGTGGAAGTGGGAAGTGACCATGGGAGGCCGAGTGACGACGGCCTTTAAAGAAGGAGGATAGAGGGAAGTGGTCCCTAGAGGATGACGTGGGCTCATGGGTCTTTTTTTCTTTGTTTAAAGGTGGAAAGTGTTGGGCACGTTCAGTTGCTGATGGGAAGGAACCGGCAGTGTGTGTGTGGCCGGGGCGGGGGGCGAGAGGGGGGGGGGGCAGTGTAGGACAGAGCTGCTGGCTGACAGGGCCGAGCTCCAGAGGGCAGAGGACTGGCATCCTGAGCTGCAGAGTGAAGCCAGGAAGTCATGTTTTCTAGCTCTTCTTCCTATGGCCGGGAAGCCAGCTGTGACCTTTGACCTCCGAGGGGGCCTCCCGGGGCTGTGCATGGGCCAGTCATCCGGAAGTCCCCACTTTCATTCCTTCCTTTCTGCTTTCTCGCTCCCTCCATCTCCCTTTCGTTCAGCACTCCTGTTTATTTCTGAAACCATTAGACCACAAAACACTTCTTAAAAACTGTGGGCCTGTATAATTTGTATATGCCCTAAATATGTTTGGGAGTTTCTAAATAATTGGAAGGTTCAGTTGCTTGAACGGTCAAGTGTGAGGACTTTGGGGGTACCAGGAGAGATCGGCTCCCCTCTGGACCAGTGGGCCCTGTCTAGGGGACATAGAGAGGGATATCTTTAAAATCCTAAACCTGCAAGTAAGGTCCTACATTTTACTCACCAAAGTAGAAAAAGAAAAGAAAAATCTTGTAAATGCTGATGCAGATTCAAGCAGGCTGGTGTTTTTATATCGCGCTCAAGATATTTTAAAGGTCACATGAAAGCACGTGAAGGTGGCAACGATATCTCATTAGAAACATGGGGTGGATAGCGAGCGAGTGAGGCTGTCCCGTCGGATCACAGCTGTCACTGTCGCTCCAGAAGCCGCAGTTGGGGAGGAGGGGCGAGCAGGGCAGGAAGCCACCCTCTTCCTCCTGGCGGAGGACCGGTCGGCCCAAAGCCTCCTGGGCTGTCCTCCGGGAGCCCTGCCTCTGAGAAGCAAAAGCAGAAGCAAGGGCAGCAGCTTTTCCTGCTGCCTCCAGTTCCCTCCCCACGTGGCTCTGCCGTCAGGGCTGCTCCCAATTCGGAAATAACCACAGGCTAAGTCCCGCCTCACACGCTGGTTTATTTTCAGAACCAGAGCTTGTGTTGATAAAAGGTACCAGGTGTTCCTCCCTTTAGTTCTGTTAGAAAATACATTAAACTGAGATTTACTGGAAACACGGAAAGCGGTTTTATGACCAGTCCCTAGGCCTTTGTATAACTCTGGCATCTTCCCTGGCCATTGCGCTTTGCCCGGCAGAGCTCCGGCCTCGGGGCGTGGAGCAAGCCAGAGAGGAAGCACATGGGCTACTTGTGCCTGGCATCCAGGAGGTGGGCGAGAAGCAAACATTGGCCTTTGTTAGGATGAGTCAATCAGAAATAGTGCTGTCCAGCCCGGGTGGCTCAGTGGTTGGGCTTTGGCCCAGGAACCAGGAGGTCACGGTTCGATTCCTGGTCAGGGCACATGCCCAGGTTGTAGGCTCAATCCCCAGGAGGGGGCATGCAGGAGGCAGCCGATCAATGATGTTTCTCTCTTTTGGATGTTTCTAGCTATCCCTCTCCCTTCCTCTCTCTCTCTAAAAATCAATAAAAACATATTTTAAAAAAGGAAGAAAGAAAGAGTGCCTTAAACTGCCTCCTTCTAAACTTTTCTCCCCAACCAACTAGGAATCTTGGTTTTGACCCAAAGATTGCGATAATGACTTATTCCGTAGTGGAGGGGACCCCGGGGCACAATCCAGTGTTCTGGCACTTCCTCTGTTCACTGGAACTTCCTGTCCATTATTTAGAAAAGCTTCTAACAATGAAACCTCAGTTGGTTGGATTAATGGAAAAGATGAGGGACATGCTTTAATTTTCCTTTCATTGTTTTCGGTTAAACTTTCTATTTTGAGATCATTAGAATCCGCGTGGAGTCTTAGGAAGTAGGATGCAGAGATCTTGTTTACCCTTTCCCCAGCTTCCCCCAGTGTAACACCTTGCAAACTGTAGTACAATCTCCCAACCTGGATGTTGACACGCATATGGTCAAGACACAGAACATTGCTGTTTTTAAATGTACTGGGGACTTTCTCTTTATTCCAGTGTGGTGAGGCCCACAGATCAGGAGACAGCTGCCATCGAAAAGATGGTTTGTTCTCATGGACCCCAGAGGAGGGGCA